ACGGTTAACATTTTACATTGAATTATATAAATTTGCATATTTGAGTGTACATTTTAAACATTGCATTCATTGCATTTTCACATTGACATTTCATTCTCATGACATTTCATTCATTTCATTTTCATATTCACACATTCAGTTTGCACTACATATTCTCTGAATAGGATTATATACAAGGATAACGCGTTATTTATTTATATATTGCATGCATTTTTGCGCAGATAGCTTTTTAGCTATTTTTCTTCGCTCATTGGCGATATTTTTCTGGCGGCCTTAAAGCATTGCGCGGCCTCAAGTTGTAGGCCGGCGCGTCCTGTCGGTGACCTTGGTCTACCGCAGGGGCCGCAGGAACGTTCCAAAGTTCCTCAATCATGGCGAGATCGCCCTCTTGTATGTTTGGTGCTGCAGCTTCTGCTGGCACATTATTGTCCGCATTGTCTGCGGGACCATTCTCTCCAGCGAAGCGGGGTCCTGCGAAAGTCCCTGGCGTAGCCGGCAGCGTAATGAGCATATTCGCATCAGTATTACTGCTCTCTGTGGCTTTGCCTACGGAACCTCCGTCAGGTTCGCTGCTGTTGAGATGGTCGTCTGGAGACGTGAGCTGGGGTTGCTCAGAGAAACGTCTCAGACGGTCGACGTGAACATGCTGCACGTCATCAGCATTGTGCACGTGCTGTATACGAGCATTGACAGGGCTCGTCATATACAGCACACGATAAGGGCCTCGGTTGATTTTTTGAAACTTCCTAGTCAAACCGGGCTTGAACTGCGGATTGTGGAGATATACAAGGGAATTCGGTGGGAAGGATGAGGTTTTGTCCTGAGTGGGGTGAGCTTTCTCCTGTGCCAGTATAGCGGATTCATTGTTTGCACGCACGACGGAGTGCAGTGAATCCAAGTGTTTGTGGAGGATGTCACGATAAGAATCGATGGATGCAAACGGATCAAAAGGAGCTTGTGTATCCACATCCAGTGGTAGGATAGGATCACGCCCAGTGAAAATTTGGGCTGGAGTGTCTCCAGTCGAACGATTGACTGATGACCGAATCGCAAAAAGAGCAAGTGGTAGTGCTTCATCCCAGTTTCTTTGTGAAGAGTCCACAAACTGAGATAAAATGTTGCTGATTGTCGAATGAAGTCGCTCGACACGTCCATTTGCCTGAGGATGGCGTGGTGACGAGAAAATACGTTTGACTACGCGAACCTGGGTTCAGCCTTGCTAACGCGTGCGACGCCGTTCTCAGGGCACAGTCTCTGTCAAACGAAGAGCTATTTCTAACGAGCTCGCTTGGCAGGGACCAAGCCCCCCCATGAGGCGGCGCAGCTAACGTTACGGGCTGACCTCAGGTTCGCTACGACAATATATATGAAGTTTTTCTCGAATAACCTTCAAGGTATCCAAGCTAGGAACAAACTAATAGCACCATCGTGATCCTCTCGTCGATCCGCATCGAAACATATGTATGTTGACCTCGAAAGGTCGAAAGGTCAAAAGTTGACCTTAGATCACGTGACCTAAGGTCAACTTTTGACCTTTCGACCTTTCGAGGTCAACATACATATGTTTCGATGCGGATCGACGAGAGGATCACGATGGTGCTATTAGTTTGTTCCTAGCTTGGATACCTTGAAAGTTATTCGAGAAAAACTTCATATATATGTATAGTGCCGCTATTTTGACTTCCTTTTAGCTCCTGTGACGTCATCTTTGACCTGACCTGAAAATGACCTCACTAAAAATTATAGACCTTATCCGTGTGTACCCTTTACCGTTTACCGCTTGTCGCTATCTTGCTTTATTCTCGAGATCTCGCTGTCGCTCCCGCTCGTAATAATGGACAGGTCATAAAAATGACCTGACCTGAGGTCAACGCAGGGCGATAACCACTTTTTTCATTATCGCATATGAATGACAATTGATAAGGCTTTAATCGTCATCAGACAAAATTGCAACTTTCAGTGGAGAAAATATCAAGGTCACTCTTCGAAAAATAGGACAAAAGGTCACGTGATCAAAATTTTCACAAATTGAAAATCCGAGATAGCCAAAATGTTTGTTGGTTGATTGTGAGTTGAACCATGTGAAGTTTTTATCGTAAAAAAACCAATAGTTTCTGAGTTATAGGCCGCCAAACATAGGGCTGCAGCGCGAACTCCAGGAATTGCTCGAGGCTATATCTCGGAAACCGTTGTTCGAAGAAAAAATTCCTTGCCACAGCTGGCTTCCCCGCCCATCACAACCCATTAGACCAATTTTAAGCAAAAAATAAAATATGAGGGTGCAGGGCACTTGTCAATTTGTCGTGGAACGCCCCATGGGTAGAAATAACTGAAAGACAAATGTCAAAACTTTGCCCCTCGTAGTTTTATTCAAAATTAATAAAACGTTAATTTCATTAGAAAATTGTAACTTTTACTTCTGTTTACAAAGTTGTATAACATGTAGTATTTGGGCTAAAAACGAATTCAGACATTATAGCGCCATTCTTGGGGGGTGTTCAGCGGTTCCAAGAGCAATTTTATCTAATTCCGTAAAGCCGTGATGACTTTATAGACAAAAATTTTCAGAATGGCAATATGGGGTAATTTGGCCGGGACCAAGCTGCCCCAGCTTGGCCGGTGCGCAGTGCGCTCATGGTCACTATGCTGGGACGGCCGAGTTTTCATGGTCAAGTGTACCATAAATGACATGATTCATGACCAACTTTGACTACTTTGATGCCTTACTTCTGATAATCCGATTCCGAAGAGCATGTGACGTCATTAAAGGTTACCAAACGTTTTTTGCTAATAAATCCTTACATAAAAATGGTACAGCCGCACAAATGGTCTCATTCTGTTCAGCTCGCCAAGGCGCATCGAATGATATGCATGATGACCTTGAAATCACGTGACCTTGAGGTCAAGCGACCTGATGCAACGTGACCTGAGGTCAACCTTTGACCTTGACTTCTCAAGGTCAACACATATAACTTTTGATGCGGACTGACGAGAGAATTACGATGGTACTCTAAGTTTTGGCTTAGCTTGATTACTTCAAAAGTTATTCGTAAAAAAAACTGTGATCGCATCTAGAGCCGCTAATTTGGCTATTTTGACCCCTGTGACCCCTGACCCAACTTCCAAAATGCGGCAAATGCGTCATAGGACACACGTCATTGCTGAATCTGAAGCTGACTCGCAATATAACAGAAAATCGCGACCGCAAACTAATACCGGCCAAATTGCATCACACCCCCGGCCAAATAACCCTGCTAGTGGGGCAATTTGGCCGCCTTGCAGACCTTTGTAATACGTCACAATTTCAATATAAGTAATTACTCTTATCATTTCAAGTTCACTGTCCAGTAAAGTAAAATGAATGCGACACCTGCCAGCGTTGAGAAAATGCAGAAATATGTCGTCAATTTTAAGTTATATCGTTTTCTAAAAAAAGCGGCCAAATTACCCCACTCTCCCCTACATGAACCTATAAGTGAATGTGCCGCTCTAAAGATTTACTTGTGCGCCAAGTTATATGCTAAAAAATGTCGATGTCGGGGGAAGTAGGACTGAAAATGGCCTCTGATGACCTAAACGGTGAACGCATACATGACCTAAAAATGGCTTTATTTCTTTCCTATTAATTTTGGCAACCTTTTTGAAGCCGTTTTTATCGCAGCTCGCGATAAGCGCGGCGATAAGCGACGCTAGTCCATACTGGCCTATAGGATACGAGCGTCTTACGATTTCACCAAACCGCAAAAGCAAATGGGCTAATTTGGGGAAAGCGTCAGCGAGACTTTCATCCTGCCGCTCGTGCCCTATGCGCCGCGGACATGAATCCTTGCAGTGAAGTCCATCCTTCAAAACAGCACCCCGTTACGGATACGCCAGTGACCGCAGCCGTCGGGTCGGTGTGCGTCGCGCTCGGTGCCGCCGAGTCGCCGGCGTCGCTCTACTCTGGCATGTTTACCGGCGGCGACACGGCGCACGTGGGCCGCTCCGTGCGCCGGTGACGCTGGAGACGTCCCTCAGGAGGCTGGCGGTCGGCGCGGCCGGTCGGCCTGTCCGCCAGCTCGTCCTCTGACGCTGTGCAGTCGCGGTGTGCTGTGTATTCGCCACTGAGCCGAGACGGGACGAGGACGGGACGAGATCCGGCTCGAACCGGCCCCCGGGAAACTCCTGCGGCGCACGTGCAATTTTGGGAAATCATTAACGAGCCCAAGATTCTCAGGCATTGAGGATCATAGTTTAGACGCGGACCGGACTCATTGTCAGCAAGCTAATCCAGATGGCTAAAATGGCACACATCATTCTAAGCTTTCCTTCTTCGATGTTTATGTAAGAGGAAACGTCGGTCGCACTCGCGATAATGTAGCAAATGCACCGCACTTCTCTTCACCGGAGTTTTAGCCGGCCCGTACCTATTAGTTATTTATAGATCTTCCAATTGTTGTTTGAGATCCAAAAGACACGTAAACCTATTACAGTTCGTTCCGGATCGGGCATATCAGCGAAGTGTTCACACACATTATGCGTGAGTTACAGTCCACTGGTATCTTTGAGAAAAAAAAAACATTCGGGTAGAGCCAATGGTGTTTGCTTGCGACACCATCGGCCGCTTTGTCATTAAACGACTCCGTGTTCGTGTCCCGTACCATGGATGAAATTACAAATAGCTCAATATGCATTACACATATTCAGCAGATATTTAAGTCGTTGGGTTAGTATAATAAACATATCAAGGGACGCCCCCTCCCGTCAGTGTGGTTGCTATGCCCGTGCTGTATATCGAGGCTGATTGTTTGCACATACCTATCAACGAAACATCGGCCGATGAACTCCATGGCCCAGCTGCGTCAGATTTAAGGAGTGCTGGAATGAGTCCTCAGTTGCACTGGCTTCAAACAGACGACGTCGGACGTAAATTCCAAGTTCCTCTTCAGTTAGATTATTTTAGCTTCTAAATTAAAGAAACATGAAAAAAATTGTGACATTCGGTGCCTTTCAACACGCCGTTTATAATTGATGCGGGTATATATTCTCCCATTTACGTCATAATAACAGGTAGGCATATAATATTCCAGGAACATCAGATACATAAATGTCACAACACATAATATAGCAACACCATGAGCACAATATGCCGGCCCGCCGACAGTTACCGCATTGAATTCAGAACAGCATGCATCACAGGGTTATTGCTTTTCCAAGCGGGCCGGTAGGCTCCGTGGAATACATCCATAACACCAGACACCACGTATGTACGTGATGTCTGGCTCGTGCCAGCATCAGCCGCGACTATACATATATCACTGGGACTGTGCAGCTGGAGTCACGATGTTTCTAAGAGCGCGCAAATCACTCCCCAAATACCCCCACTTTATAACGTCCATAGGCGTTACGTTTCAAAAACCGACTTCACAACAGTCGATCATAAAAGACCCCGAATCCCTAAATTCGCACGTCAACGACAACATCTATGTACGCGCCATAAACATATTAACCCGCGCCCTGCTGGGGGTCCTGGATTTCCACGCCCTGCTGGGGGGGTGTTTGAACACCCCCCCTTCTAACTCGGCTCCTGGGCCACGTAGCGATACGCGGAAGGCGGCGTTCGAAAGAGCGTCAAAAATAATGAGGAAATCACTTCGGTCAATTTTTTGGTCAGGTCAAAGGTCAGGCCACCAGAGGTCATTGAAGGCAAAATTTCGCCGATTTCCAGGTCGAAGGTCGACAATTTCCAAGAAGCCAACGCATAACTCGGGAACCAATAGAGCTACAGCGCCGCGGAAAAGCGCATTCGATAGCCCTATTAACGCCCTTTCTGAATAATTCTCTCAGATTTGACCTAACGTCAACGGTTTTGCCTGCAGGGGGCAAAAAGTGCAAAAATAGCCGATTTTTTCGGAAACAGGTTTTCTGCAATAACTTTTGACCCAAGCCTTGTACGAGCTTACTTTTACCGGCATCGTGTTCCTCTCGTCAAGACGCATCGAATGAACTATAACTTGACCTTGAAAGGTCAACTTGAAAATTTGACCTCAGGTCAAGGTCATGACCTGACCGGAAAGGGTCATGTTGCATATCAGTCGATCTGTATCGTCGAGCTGAACACATCTAAGGCGTTTTCATCGCTCTAGCATGCCTCTATCAAAAGTTATTTGCGAGAAACTGTTAGATACCATTCGTGACCTAAGATGACCTCAGGGCATAAACAGGGATCACGGACACCATTTTCATGTTCAGTGTGTCTAAACCACTTGTAATTCAGTGTTTGGGAGTGTTTATAATGTCTTTCGTCCAAAAGAGGCGCATTTCAATTTTCTCCCATTGACTTATAATGGGGAGGTCGCAAAATTGACCTGACCTTAGGTCATCGATATCAAAATTCTGAGATATACATTTTGTACATGCTATTGCTCTTAGCAATCGCTGAAAGTTTCAAAGCGATCGGTCACTCATGGTAGCTATGACAGACATTGAAACTTTTTATGAGGTGAGGTCACTTCAAGTGACCTGGTGACCTGACCTTGAATGACCTTGGTCTGAAATTTTCACAACATGTGTAGAATTGATGTATGATAAGGTGTACCAAAAACGGCGGCGCTCCGCGCCGCCGTTTTTGAGATATTCGCGAAAAACCACAAGGGGGGGGGTGTTCAAACACCCCCCCAGCAGGGCGCGGGTTAAACAAAAGTCCTGATATCTTACATGACGTCGTACACTTAACCCCGGTAAGATCATTTAACCATGTCACTGGCGCAGTCTTTTTGGTAGCACGGCACTGCAAAATCGTTTGGTAACCTACTTCTTCTCTGGCAACACCTGGAACAGGGGTCGACACCGAGTTCCTAAGGAGGCTGACCTGCACTGTGCCTCTCGCGACCCTCATAGCCACCCAGTCTTGGCCGGCGTTACTGGCAAGTCCCGTTATGTCACAGGGCCAGCACACGTCGTTAATTCACTCGTCCTCGGCGATGGCCGGCCGACTCTCGAACTGCAGAGCCTGCAGAGCGAGGTGAAAGTCGTCGAGGTTGCCGTAGTAGATCTTATCACCTGAAGCATGTCTGAGGGCTGCCGTCCTCAGACTGCGACCCCTCAGCGAAGGACGAGCCGGGAGAGCCGGTGGCTTGTCCTCGGCCGAGTCTCGACAGGCGTCGAACGCTTGCGCCAGTCGCAGCCGTTCCACCCCGGTCATGTCCAGGTAGCAGGACTCCAGGTCCGCGGCTGGCGGCGCGCTGACGTCCGGCGCACCCAGCAGCGGAGACGGCGGCGCAGGCGAGCCGAGGATCACGTGGATCGCGTCCATCGTCATGTAGCCCTCGTCGTCCTCCTGCTGGGATTGGTTCTGTGGACAGTCGCGGGCCAGATGATCCTGACCGAGACTGCCGCCCTCCGGACAGTTGACGACGATCGAAGGCGGCTTCACGATCAGCTCGTACACCGGCGAAGTGAGCTGGTTGATGTTGGGGACGCTCTGTCCCAGTCTGTCGCCGCATATAGCATATTCAGGAAGCTGGAAGTAGGCGGACTCGAAAGCTCCTCGCGGTCCCACCTCCAGATAGTCTCCCTCAGTATCATCTTGGCGAGTTTCAGTGGTAGAAGCTTGCTTACAGGTCTTGGAAGGCTCTGGTTTCTCTCGCCGGTCTTCTGCTGCTTTCTTTGCGGCCAACGGGCTGACTGGTGCAGGAGCCTGTGCGACGACGTTCGCCTGATCTTTGAAGCTTCGTCGGTGCCTCTGCGAAGTTCGTTCGTGAAACGATGCGAACCATCGCGAGCTCAGCGCACGATGAAAGACTCCAGACGAGGGCCGAATCCGCTTAGGAGAGATCGAACAAGGGTTGTCTGCTGCTGCATTCGGGGCATTTTTCGCGACAGGTGTTACCACCGCCACCGGCGCAGACATCCTCCCCCATGACCAGCCCTTCGGCGTGGCGCTCCTCAGGTTGGGCATTGATTTGTTCAGAGTGACATCCGGGTCGTCGAACGCTTTATCGCTGCGAGCCGTCCTGTCGGACTTGCGTCGCCAGAGGAGTGCCAGTCGTTTGGGCGCCGCCGGTCTGTGCGAGGCGAGAAAGCGGTAGAAGCTCGTCTGTCGTGCCGCTGGCGCCGGCTCGGCTGGCACGGTGCTCAGATCCCCGAGACTCTGGCTGGCCTGAGGCGGCTCGCCGAAGTGGGTACCCGCCTTGCCAGAGACGCTGTCAGTGGAGGGCCTCCTCGCGTGGAAGGAGTTGCAGCGCGGTCTCGGCGGCGGCAGCGGCGGCGGCGGGCTGGCGCTCCGGACGCTCAGGCGGCTGGTGGAGGTCTCTCTCAGTGGCTCGTACTCCCCGGAGGCGTCGCTGTCACAGTCCGAGTCATCATCATCGGGAGAGGCGTTCTTTGGGGACTTGGCGGAGACCTTCCTGGCCAGGTCTTGTGGCATCGAGTCTCCAGAGGCGTAAGAGGAGACGGAGCCGAGCCGAAAATCGCGCCCACCGTCTGTGGACAGGTCACGGCAGGACAGGTACGTCTCCTCTTCATCGTCGTGTGACCGGTAATCCAGCATCTGCAGCGAAAGGAACGAGCGATTCAGCACCAGAGTGTGACCCCAGTCACGCTGTTACGAAACAAACCCCAAGTGCGGGATGGGTGCAGACCGCTGTCCTGTCGGTCTGGCACGTGCCTCCTGCTCTGACACGTGATGTGACCAGTGCACGCTGCACGCTGAAAGGAGCGACATGGCTCGTGCACTAGATCCGACAAATTCGGAGAAGGACGCTAATCAGACTGAATTTCGTGCTAATAGCTGGATTTATTTGGGTCAGAATTAAGATTCTCGGAAGCGGGTTAGCAACGTGGGGATTCGTTCAATATTGAATTAACATTCCATGTCACTGTGCAAAACATTTATCAGTTCACATCTAGGGCAATTAATTATTTGTCAAGGGAACTCCGACATAAACTCAATAAAACCGATATGAATGGTATGAAAAGGTCACCCTGCGTGACTAACGTCGGCTGAGTCACTTCATGGCTCGATTGATCGATAATTCGATACAAGTCAAACGGTGATGCACGAATGAAGCACAGCATGGGCATTGTTCAAATACAATAGCTAGCTCAATGCTTATAACCTGTCCAGTTGAAATGTTCCGAGCAGCACCACCCTTCCGATCCGTTTAGCGAAGCCCATTAGAACCATTGTGCACCTTTCTAGCAGGCCAGCCCATGTCGACAGCCTCGGCTGCGACGATCCATTAATAAATATTTCGTAACCAAAAAACAGTCTGTTGGGTTCTAGCCTCACCTCGAGGTCCGCTGTTCGACCGACTCCACAGACCAATGGCTCCGACTGACCCCAGAGGTGCTCGGCGCCGCGCGCGACACACAACCCCCACCGGCGCTGGCGACGAACTGAGGCCGCCGGCCGGCCAGCCGGCCGCCGCACCTCGCAGGGACCGGTCTGCACTCATGGGGAGTCCCGCGACGCGTCTGTATTCACCGCCGAGCGGCGTGCGCAGGACCGGAGGCCACCCGTCGATTCCTGCAAACATGGAGCGCGAGCCTCATGGGTTTTCGTAGGAGGGTGATGCGATGGTGGGTCCAGCTATAATCCCATGGGGATGTCCAACCATCAAAATACTATCCTGCAGAACAGACGTTATAAAAAAAAACTTAGTCCGATGGAGGTGTATAGCTACCTTTGCTGCGCTCTCTGACCACGTTAATTGTTTTGTTTTGTTTTGTTGGGTTAGGCCCTTTCGGTCGACAAGACCATTGCAGAGCCGGAAGGATGATAGGAATTAGGGGGAGACATTGGTCTGGGCAGGCACCCTAGTGAGTCGCCGGGGCTGAGCCCGTCCAGAGGACAGGCCACCCAGCCCCAAGGCACTCACTGCACCCGGCTACGGGGTGCGCTCCCTCGGGAGCAGCGGAGCCGCTCCAAGGGAGCAGCCCGCATGAGATAAAGTTGCCTGCCCAGCCCGGAAGGGGGTTGTGGCGTGGAGGAGAAGGATTTCAGTATCCTGAGGATAGAAGCACGGACAGGTCGACGTTAATTGTGATCAGACTATATGTTATAGTTTCTCGGGCATATCACCAAATGATGTTGAAGCAGGCCTTTCGATGGAACGCTGTTTTGTGCCAACATTAGATTATACGGTCTTTCAGCCCCAAAGCAATTAAAACCGTTAAAAAGGCATTTGCATAGGCATTTGCGTTGCAAGGATTCTAAGTGGCGTCACCAATTGATCCCGGAAAAATCGATTTATTATACGCTGATTGCATGCTATATGATGCCTAATTGTGTTACGAACACAACTGAAGCTTCAGCTTAGCTGCTTCATGAATTTAATACTTAGAACATTTTTTTTGTTCTCCGTTGAAGAAATATTTGAGATAATAAAACTTTGGAATACTGTAAACCCACAAAAACGGTCTGTGATTTTACGTTCCTTTAAAATAAACTATTGTAATTTATCATTGTTTTGCGACAAAGTGGTCAGCTTTGTTGCCGGGTCTCTTGATTTACAATTACAACCATTTTCTTGTTTTGTCTATAGAACGTGAAACGGTTATAAAACAGTTATAAAACGTGAAACGGTGAAACGGTTATAAGAGGGTGACGATTTAATGACGAAGTTACGTCGGCTACCAAAACTCAGCATTGGGTCACGACTCATTGGCTAACGAGCGAAAGAGTTTACCCGCGGATTTTAAAGGGAAAATCATGGAAAATCGTATGAAAAGCCCGGGCCGGCCCGGCCCCTAAACGCTTTTGAGAGGCTTTAGCTCGGCAACCGCTCGACGGATCAACAAGTGGTCTTCTGCGTCTGATAGATCCATCCTTTCAACAATGAACTCTTTTAATTTTGGTGTAGGTATATGTGTTGCCGCCACTGCACGTGCCACGTGTAAAATGAAGAGGTGTCAATTTTGCTCCAGCTCGGGTACAATAACTCGGCAATGACTGGACCGATGGCGCTGAACTTTGGTAAATATATAGGATTGAACCGACCAGGCATGAGGCAAATGCATTTTAACCCTCGCATGTGTAGGGGGGGGGGGTCGGATGGACCCCCCCATGGTTTTTCGCGAATAACTCGCGTAAAAAGCGGCCGATCGCGACGAAACTTTCAGTACCCTCACATTAATTAATTTTACACCTACCCTGAAAATTTCATGACCCTGACCCAAATGACCTTTGACCTGTGACCTCTTTTCCGAGACCATGTTTGGCCGGAATCGCGATTTCGCGTATGTCGGCTCGCACTAGCCGCGTGTTTGCAAGCTTTTCGTGGTTTCAAACGTTCAAACATGTGATTTGATGTTACTCCCGTGTGTGTCAAGGTCACCTGAAGGTCAGGTCAGGTCATTGACCTTTGGTGACCTCGGGTGACCTCGGGTCACTTTTTCGAGTTTTACATGTTTCTAGGCTAGTTTTTGGAGCTGAATTCGAATTTAGCAACCATTTGAACATTTACGAAGTAGTTTTGGTGACTTCGTAACATGTTACGAAGCTGTCAGAGGCGGTTGACACGTACTACGAATACCCGTCACGACGCCTACTGGTTGACCTGACCTGACCTGACCCGACCTGGTCTAAATGCTTAAAGACATCATCTGTGATCAAAACTAACACGATATTCGTGATCAGCACCCCGAAAAACCCCTTAGCAGCCACACTTTACGACTTTCTAACAGGTCCCGATTTTCCCGACTTCGGGTCATTGACCTGACCTGGAAGGTCAACCAATGACCTAGGACCTTAAAATTGGGTATCATCGGCTTCCTCTCGTCACGGGCAACACGCTCGTTTTTTCCGCGAAGCTCTAGCTCGATCAGGGGCCAAACGGCAAGGGGGGGTCCAACCGACCCCCCCCCCCCCTACACATTAGAAGCTGGCAAACGCCGCACACATGCGAGGGTTAACGCATCACCATGAGATGTATTGCACATGCGCCCGTGCTGGGGTTGTTTCCAGATTTTGAGAACGAGTGAGCCCAGCCCCTTGGAAAATCCGTATAGTCGCGTTAACATTTGCTGCACGGTTAGGGACCGGGGAGTAGGGCGTCGTCATCGTGCACAACTCAGTTGGGACCCAGTTTGCACGCACGCACGTGCAGAGTTAGATGGGTGCTGCACGCACAAGTCAGTTGGGAGTAAACACTCGCAATTTTGCAAGTGCAGGGCTCACCCTCTCACTCGCTTGTTTTTCGCCCCGAAAGGCGTCTTATCCTGGCACCATCGTGCTCATTTGAGTATCTCAAATATGTCTAAAAGGATGCTGTTTATTTGCCCATTTTATGTCGAGAAATTGTGTCGGATTCCGCCGCGCTCCACATTTTGTAGTACACAATAGGCATACTCTTTTCGATGTTTTATGCTATGGCATTAGGCAATAAGTAAAAGGAAAGCAGTAAGCACCCCCTGTCCGTTGCTCAGTGTCCGCCCTGAGATGCCATCTGCTCCCATCTCAAGGAAGACGCACGGCTGGATCCGGCAGTGATGATGCAATATTTATTTTGCCTCAAACGTAATAGCTGAACAAATGCGCATTGAGCATACCGGCTGGCTTATTGGCGTATGGAGTGCGCTGTAACGTTCAGAATAATCCAGCTCTTCACGTGCACTAAGCAAGGTCCGGTTCCGACACACGGATAGACATCGTGAACTTAAGCATGAGATCAAGTCATGCTTGGTCGGTGACTGGTACGTACGCGGCTCTCGATTGTAGTTTCGCGTCTTTCCTAATAACGTCTGTTGCAGTTGCAGCGAAGTTGTTCGGCGTAAATGCTGCGTAGTTCTTCGCTCGATTGGCGGTATCGCAATTCCGAACTCTGTCTATTAAGACGAACTTTAGAAAATGAGTGAAGATAAAAAAACGAGATTTTTCAACAGCTTGGCCCGTCGTAAAGGAACGGGATAGGTATTAAGTGCAAATTAAAAATGATGCATGAGAGTGGGTTTGCATTAGGGTAGCCTGGGGCAAGACGCCCCAGATAATTTATTTTGCTACAAAACTTTTGTCCCACATCACCTGGAAGGCCAAATTTGTGCTCAATGCGTTTTTTGGACATTTTACTTTAAATTCCACCCCTCAAATTCATTCACTTATGATCGGACTCCCAGCTAGGAAGTGATTTGTGAAGCAACTGCAAATGGGGCATTTTGCCCCAACCCCAGGGCAAAACGCCCCACGGCCTGGGGCAAGACGCCCCATACTCTAGATTAAGGATTGAACATGCTAGTTGACTAAATCTTATATGAGAGGCCCGTTAGACCTTGGAAGGCACGGCACTGAAGTTAGCACCTTCCATCCTGTCAGGTGTTCAGCTATGACACTATTGTATGTACAGGTTTTTCACCTGCCTCATAAGGCCAAATAATAAATTATTGCAATCCAAATGTTAACAAAATGCTTCCTTTGTCATTAATTTGCTGAGAAAGGTACATAAAATTGCATAGAAACTTACTGTTCGCCAGCAACCGAACATTAGGAAGTGGGTAGTCGGAACAACACATGAGGTAAAACGCCCCATGGGGCTTTTTGCCCCGCGACCTACTGGGGCGTTTTACCCCATCACGTAGTTTGGTCAGAGAACAACGCCTTGCACTCCAGCAAGGCATAATTTAACCCTCGCCGGACCTATTGGTTTTCTACATACGCGCCGGCCGAGGGGGGGGGGGCGGGTACGACCCCCCCCCCTCGCCGTTTCGCCCCTGGTGGAGCTAGCGCGTCGCGGAAAAAACGAGCGTGTGCGCCGTTACGAGACGCAGAGATTGGTACCCGATTTTAAGGTCCTAGGTCAACCGGTGACCTCTGAGGTCAGGTCAAGTGCCCCAGGGTACGGTTCAGTTTTTGGTGAATAACTTCGCAAAAAACGGCCGCAGAGCCGCGATTTTGGCAGCATCGTGTTCGCCTTGATCAGGCGCGTCGAATGATATACTTTTTGTCCGGGTCAGGTCAACTTGGGGTGTTGACCTCAGGTCAAGGTCAGGTCAGCACCCCCAGGTCACGAAGTTGGTCGAAAGAGGTCATGTCGCATATCATTCGATTCGGCAGGTCTTCCTGAGTCCATTGGTGGCTTTCCCGACTCGCTAGCTCAATTTGATCGGGAGTTATTGACGAAAAACTAATATGACCTTGATGACGTCATAAATGACGTCACGGAAGGTCAACATTGCAAAAGTGACGCATCTAACCTTGCAAGGAGTGCATCAAACCACGATTCTGTGTGCTTGAGATAGTTGGAGATCGTTCCCGGCGCCAGAATAGCAGTTTGAATTTTTCCCCATTGACTTATAATGGTGAGGTCACGAAAATGACCTGACCTCATATGACCTCTAGGAAAAATCCGAGATATACAAGTTGTGAGACTCATAATGGATACTAGATCCTGCAAGTTTCATTTCCCTGTGACATCTCCTCTGGCAGTGAGGGCGTTGCGAAGTTGCGACATC